GCGGGAGCCCCCCAAAGGGGGCGGTCTCCCCCCCCCCCCGAGGGTCGAGGATCGAGCGCGATTTCGCTGTCGGGCGACAAGCGAACGTACCGCGACAGGACAGGGCCTTTTGGCAGCCCCCCCGCTGGCGGGCAGGGGGCCGCCGCCTGGCGCCCTAGGTTCTTCAGAAACCAAACCTGATGCGGCCGCCCCCCGCCCCCCGGGGCCCCTCCGGGCCCGGCCCGACGGAGGCGCCACTCCCCTTCCGTTTCTCTTTCCTCCTCCCACCTCTCTCCACCTCCTCTCCTCTTCCACGCGCCCTCATTATTCCAGCCTCCCTCCACCTCCTCCCCCCGGAAACGCCACCTCCCCCCTACCCGCCTTCTGGAGCCCCCCACCCTCCCGTTTCTGACCTTCTTAACCTTCCTGGTCCTCCCTCTCGCCCCCCCCCCCTCCCCCTTGCTCGGGCCCGCGGCCCTCGCCCCGCCCTCCATGCCCCACTTCCCGCTGTGGTCAGACCAAGGGGGAAACGCAATGCCCCCAGATCTCAGGACGGAGGTGGTTTAGAGCGCTTCCTGTTCCAACAACCCCCAGTCTTCCCTTCGGGGATGGATGCGCCCCTCCCCCCCCCCTCCTTCCGGGGCCTGCAATGGGGGGCGGCGGATCGGTGGAGCGCCCGGGACGGTCAAAGATAGAGCCGGCATGACCTCGCAGAATGCAACGCGGTCTCACAGATGGTTCAAGATAGCCCAAGATGGATCAACATTGTTTCCCGCATGCTCCAAGAAACCCAAATACCGCTCCGAGACCGCCCCAAGCGGCCGCGGAGCCACCCAATAACACCCCCGAGAAGCCGAAATCTTTCCAAATCGTACGAGACACGAATGAATTGGGCCTTTTGGTCCATGCGCTTCCGAAGACTTTGGAAGCCTGAAGATAAGCCCCGAAGGAGTCCAGAAGAACCCAAGACAGCGCACTTCACGAATTACTCGGCTGGCTTGCTAGCAGAAGCCGCGCCTTGCCGGCGGCATTCCAGCATTTCCCCGAGAAGCTTGTTTGGAAAATATCATTACTGACCCGATCCCGACAAGTTACTTTTGATATTGTGTTCCCGACAACCTTTCCTGGAAAGCTACTTTTGCACATGAATGTCGCATTCCTTTCCCCTGAAAGTTTCTCGCGGCAATCGGTTTCGCCATCCTTTCCCTTCGAGTTACCTGCGCCGACCACTGTTGCCAGGCGCGCTGCAGACCTACTTCGCCGACCTACTTCAGGAGCTACTCTAAACCTACTTCATTTGTTTTGCGCCTCAAGCAAGCCCTGCATTCAAAGGGAAGTCTCGGCGATGGGGTCGTCGGCGCGCAGAGTGGCGACCTGGCGGCGCGAGACCCGTCGATGCGCTTCTCGGCTCAATCCAGCCTGACAGGGATCCACCTCCACCAACGTCGGCAAGGGGGAGAGGTCAGGCTGCGTCGCGAAAATTCGAAGACGCTCGGCGCCGCGACGACCGCGGCGCCGAGCACAACAATCACGCCCGCAGGCGCTGCCCCTCTGAGGTGAGAGGGGCCCGCAGCGGGGGCCCCCCAGGCCGCCGTCGCACGGCGACTGTCCAGCGGCGCTCCCGGCCCCCATCGGCGCCCGCCTTTGCCGTTGGATGGGCGACGGCGGCGCGCGCTTCTTGGGCCTTCTGGCGCTGTTTCTCGAGATCAGCCTTCTCCTCAGATGCGCGGCAGATTCGCGGGTCGCCGCGCGCGCGTTCAGAGCCGGGGCGATGCCGGCCGTTCGCTGCTGGCGCCTCGACCGCAGCTCCTCACCCCCACATCAAAGCGGCCCTCGCCTGGGCCGCGACTCGCCACGCCCAGAATGAGATGCGCCCTCCTTGTCAGCACCTCGAACGCGGCCAGCGAGGCGAGGTTGAGCTGGTCGTGGCAGCCCTCGGGCTCAAGCAGCCTGCGCAGCGCCTGCAGCTTGCGCGCGAGCCTGTCCGAAGCCTCGATCTGGTTCTCCGACAAATACTTCTGGTGCCATTGCATCGGCGAGCCTTCAGTCCTCTCGAGGTTCTTTGCCATCCACAGCATTGAGCGAGGGCCCTCCACGGACCAGTCCCCGTAGAAGCTATCGTGCATCTTCGCAGCGGCCTCCTTCCACGAACCAGATCATTCCCCTTGTTGCTCGTCATCCTGCACGGCTAGGGTCCTCGCGTCATCCTCATGATCGTCAGGGGGAGAAGTTGTCGGCTGGAGAGGAGGACGAGGGTCGGCCATCATAACGATATTCGGCATCTTGTCAGCAATCCCCTTCCAGCGCCGCCCTCCAAAACCTGGTGCGTCATCGTTGGGCACGCGGTGCTGGACAACAGCATTCTCGGCTGGCTTGTCCGACGCGGGTGCTCCAAAAACGCTTACCAGTAGTCAGTTCCCCAATCGGCATGCATTCTTCTTCGCCAGGATCGTTACGGTGGCGAACTCGGTGCCGTGGGGGAACGCCTTGCCGAACCCCCCAGCTGTAGGCGGGGTCGTCCTCCACCAGCACGCCAGTCCCGTACCAACGGTCGCCCGTCCTCGGCGGCGGGGTGCCAATACCGCCCATGGCGTCACCGTCGTCGTCCTCGGCTGGCACCAGCGGGCCTGCAGTGACTGGTGCAACCTTGCCGTGCGCCCGCCGAGCCGGCCCCGCAGCGCGGCCGCCATGCCAGAGGTCCTCCAGCGCCACCACCTGGCCGTCTCGCAGCTGCGCGAAGGGCAGGCGTCCAGGACCCGAGCAACAGCTCGCGTCGTGACCCGATATCCTCACGGAGCTGGTCGCCAGGAGAGGCCAACTGCCGAGGTGCCACGCCGCAGGGCCCCAGCACCACGAGCTCGATGACGTCCCCGCCTACGAGCGCCTCCGCCACCTGGTTCCCGACGGGCGACTCCGAGATCCACTCGACTGCGTCACGGGCCACAAGCAGACGCGCTCGTGCAGGTGGTCCTCTCCGAAGTCGTCGTAGCAAACGCAGGCCCTACCGTCTGGCATCAACAGTCTCAATGACGACGCCGCCGCGGACGGGAGGCCGCTTGGCCGAGCCGCCACCACCCACACGGCTGCTGCTGCGCCTGGCTCCGGCCCAGAATCCGCCACAGCCAGCCGCGACCACGTTCACCACGAGGCACGCAACGAGCAGGGCCCAGGGCGGCCCCTCGGGGCAGCTGAGCCCCGGACAGGGCGGGCACAGCGCCTGCGGGCAGGGCAGCTCCGGGCAGGTCAGGTTGGGGCAGGGTGGCTGCGGCGGGCACGGCGGCGGGAGCGGACAGACGTTTCCGCTGCCGCTGGCCGTGGTCCAGTTGGCCACCACGCCAGCGACCCCCCCGCGCCCGATCTCCAAAGCGGCGGTCTGGATGAGGTCGCGCAGAGAATCTGGGAGCACCATCTGAGGAGCGACGCCTCAACAACTTTGAGCAAAGATGGGCCGCGGCTGCTTCCCATGCTCGCAGTATTGCACACACTCTCATTCTAGTTCGTCATCATCATCATCATCATCATCATCATCATCATCATCATCATCATCAGCATCATCATCATCATCATCATCATCATCATCATCAGCATCATCAACATCATCAACATCATCATCACCATCATCACCATCATCACCGTCAACAGCATTATCACCATCATCAACATCAGCATCAGCATCATCACCATCACCATCATCATCATCATCATCATCATCATCACCGTTATCATCATTAGCATCATCATCAGTATCATCATCCGATTTCCTCCTCATCCGACATCCGCATGATCACCATCACCATCATCACCATCACCGTTACCACCACCACCATCATCATCAGCAGCAGCAGCGCCATCATCATAAGCATCCTCATCCTCATCCTCACCCACATCATCATCCTCATCTTCATCCTCATCATCCTCATCATCGTGATCATGATCATCTTCGCCAGCATCCCCATCATCCTCATAATCCTCATGACGAGTCTCCCAAGCCTGGAGACACGAGGTGTCACACGTGACGGCAACCCGTGCTCCCTCGAACAGTCGCCACCCAGCATGATGGGCTGGCATGGTTGCGGGACTTGCCGCAGGCAGCTGAACATCCGCCACCTTGCCCTTGAGGCACGAACTGGATTGTCCTTCGGTCCTTTGCCGGATCCCTTCAACCTCATCCGTCAATCCTGATGATTATTCGAGGAGCCCAGACCCCAAATTGACAAATCTGCTGGGGCTTGTCGCGCGCCCTCAGGGCTCACCTGCATCTTGTCGCATGTCCTTCTCGGGGCCAAGACCGCCCCAAGACGGTTCAAAGGACCCCTATGAGGCCGTCCA